CTCCTCTGGACATGTCCAAACCATCTCAGTGTGTCCTCTCTAACTTTTATCACAAATCACTCCTGAAACTTTCCTCCATCCTGCTCTTCTTCACCTCTTTACTGTCACAAAGTGATGGACCTTTCCTCCAGTGGTCACTCGATCTGTCTCATTATCATTTGATAAAAGGCCACTCTGTTTTTAAACCTACAATCTTCTCAGTTTCTTTTCCCAATGTTGAGATGTTTCTCATATCGTGTAAATAAATAAAAACATAACCAGGATTTCTTGGTTTTAAAAGTGTTTGAGGCTATTTGAACTTTTTTTCCAAGGAAAAGCTGTAAAAATATCTCCACCCTCAGAGGTTTACTTCAGATCTTAGATGGTAATTTATGTTTACAGTGAGAATATTTAGTTGATCTCTAATGACGCAGCTGTTTCTTCTCGTCGGCGCAGGTCAGTCCCTGGTTCGTCTCAGCAGCCCTCGCTACAAGTTCAACTTCATCGCTGACGTAGTGGAGAAGATTGTGCCTGCTGTCGTCCACATCGAGCTGATTGTGAGGTGGATGTGAAGTTTGGTGTAAAAAAAATAATAAAACCGTATTTTTCATCGTATAAGTCGCATCTGTCAAGAAAAGCATCACAAAGAGGACATAAACATATATATACACACACGTCACACGACTGACAAATCTATGCAAAAAACTGATTTATACGCCTGAAAATACGGTAATTACAAAAAAAAAGAAGCTTCATACAGAAAAATCTGGCCCCGGTTTTCTGTCACAATTTTTGTAGCTCTTTGAATTTATCCGTTCAAACAGTCTCTGAAATAAAATCTTTTTTTATCCCTTTTTCTCTCCCCAGACATCCCCTGTTTGGTCGCCACATGCGTCTGTCCAGCGGTTCTGGTTTCATTGTGACCCACTCGGGTGTGATCGTGACCAACGCTCACGTGGTAACCACGGCGGCCACGCTGAGCGGCAGGCCGCAGCTGCGCGTTCAGCTGCACGATGGCGATGCGTACGAGGCGGTGGTCAGAGACGTGGACAGGAAGGCAGACATTGCCACCGTTAAAATCAACCCTCAGGTACAACCAGAAAACAAACACCGGCTCTCGTTGTGAAAATGTCCCGTTCTTCCTCCTCTGCGACTCCTGAAGAGCGAATGAAAAACTCCTCGACTTGCCGTTTGTGCCAAAACTTCACGGTCTCTTGCGAGACGTTTATAAGTCTGGCGGAAATACTTTGCTAAACACCGAGTCTGTGACTCAGAGCCGCAGCACTGATGTGTGTCTTCTCACACTCACATCCCAAATACCTGTTAGCTTTCAGCTCTTCCCTTCTCATTCCCTTTGGTCTTTTCTCAGTATAGCTTGTCCAACATGCATTCATCTGATTTAACAAGATTTACGTCTCTGTCTTTGTAACTTTGCACGTCCACGTGGGAGCAGAAAAAGCTCCACGTGCTTTCTTTGGGCCCTTCAGCTGATCTCAGACCAGGAGAGTTTGTGGTTGCCATCGGCAGCCCGTTCGCTCTGCAGAACACCGTGACGACCGGCATCGTCAGCACCGCCCAGAGAGACGGCAAAGAGCTGGGCATCAGGGACTCTGACATGGACTACGTCCAGACCGACGCCATTATCAACGTGAACACAAACACCAGATCGTGCTTTTTATTTCACCATGCAGTCATCGATGTTCAGTCTTGTGATTTGTGTTTCTTGCTTGCACATAGTACGGTAATTCTGGAGGACCTCTCGTGAACTTGGTAAGTTCTGACCTTTTTTAGTTTTGTCCATCAATACAACCCAAATTCTGCAGAGTCTTGTGTAAAACAGAACTAAAAACAGAATGCAATCATTTAAAAATCTCATTCACCTGTATTTTATTCACAGTGAAACATAGTAAGCACATCAAGGGTTGAAACTAAGAAGATGAACTCATTAAAAAGATCATTTTTAAAGTTTATGACAGCAACACACCTCCAACGATTCTGTGCTGGATGAGTTGCTGAATGTTTTAAAACCTGGATGCACCGTTTTGCATTGATGGTGCCTTTACAGATGTGCAAGATGCACCAATGCACCCCCATAACATTAGAGAGGCAAGTTTGAACTGTGTGCTGTAAACAGGCCACATGGTGACCATGGTTTCTAAAAAGGTTTTCACATTTTAAGTCATTTGTACGGTGGCCGTGAGGTGTAAATGAACAACATTTGGAAAAACAGAATTACATTAAGCCAAAGCGGAAATGGCCAGAATCACATTTTGGGGGGGAAAAAAAGCATTACGTTTGAAAAAGAAAGTAATAAATAAACATAATAAATGACTTATTAAAATAAAAATAAAAAATACACTAAAAGCAAACCATACCATTTACGGTTTAGCTTAATGTAATTGCATTTTTTAAAAATGTAATTCCATCCACTTCCGCCACTTCCACTTCCGCCACTTCCACTTCGGCAACTCCCGCTTTGGCTTAATGTAATTCCGTTTTGTTTTTTGTTTTTTTTTCCAAATGTGATTCCGTCCACTTCCGCTTTAGCCACTTCCGCTTCGGCCATTACCTCTTTGGCTTAATGCAATTCTGATTTTTCCAAATGTAATTCCATTTTTTCCAAATGTGATTCCGTCCACTTCCGCTTTGGCCACTTCCTCTTTGGCTTAATGGAATTCTGTTTTTTGTTGTTGTTTTTTTTTTTTTTCAAATGTAATTCCATTTTTTTTCAAATGTGATTCTGTCCACTTCAGCTTCAGCCACTTCCACTTCGGTCACTTCCACTTCGGCCACCTCTTGTTTGGCTTAATGTAATTCCGTTTTTCAAATCTTGTTCATTTACACCTCACGGCCACCGTACATTTGACCACAAAGCAGTTCTCTACTTTGCCTTGGCTCAGAGAAAATGGCCGCCTTTCTGGATAGCGTTCACATGTGGCTTCTTCTTTGTGTGATGGAGCTTTAACCAGCATTTGTGGATGACATGGCAAACTGTTTGCAACGTGTTCCTCAGCCCATGCAGTGATGTCCAGAACAGAATCAGAACTGTTTCTACTGCGGTGCCAGCATCCATTACTCACTTTGTATTGATAGATAATCCCCTCCCAGAAAGAATGGTACAATTTCTTACTTTCAACATATACAACGTTTTACTGTGAATAAAATGTACGATTGTCAAATTTGCAGATCACTGAGCTCAGTTTTAGTTTACATTTTATACTAAATCCCAAGTCTTTTGGAACAGGGTTTAGTTTTAGTGATGTCATCAGCTTAAGCCCTCAAGTAGAAATCTTCAGAAAGAGAGATTCTGTCCCAATTTTCCCAGTCCTTCTAAAATTTCCAACACGTGCCTCATGCCCTTATTGGAGACCAAATGTTCGGGACGATCATCCTAATTTGATGTGAGACGGTTCGTAAGTGCAGATGTGCGTTCTCTCCCAGGACGGTGAGGTCATCGGCATCAACACCCTGAAGGTGACGGCAGGGATCTCTTTCGCCATCCCCTCAGACAGGATCAGCCGCTTCCTCACGGAGTCGCAGGCCAAACACAGCGAAGGTGGGCTTCTCTGACTGAGCCGGGGGAAGTGTTCTTTTAAAACGACAATAAATCTTTTGATTCCCTCTAATCTTCTGTTGAGACAGAGAAGCTCAGACTGCAGAGACGACGTGTGGAGGATCCACAGTCGGATGCAGGTGAGAGCTGCCGATGCGTTAAAGCCTCGCTTGAAACGCGTCTTCTACTCTTATTTTATCATTTTGTTTCCAGAGTTATCACAAGACAACAGATATTACATAGGCATCAGGATGATGACGGTCACCAGAGCGTGAGTTGAAACATCTGCACACACCTGGATTATTGAGCATGGGCTTTGGTGTTTTGAATCTGCACGCAGACGACATGTGGAACCGGTTGCTGCCGTTAGTTTTTCCATTCATGAGGTTTTTTCTGTGCAAGTCTCACAGCAGAGCTGAAACTTCAGCAGCCAGACTTTCCTGATGTGAGCAGTGGAGTTCTGGTGCAGCGGGTCGTACCGAACACACCAGCAGAGAGGTACGCCCGCACACACACACACACACACACACACACACACGCGCGTTCTCTTTTGTTGTTTGATGCTTGGTGGTGTTTTTTTTAATATTCATCTTCTGCATTTCCACATCAATGCTTTGATCTTTCATGGTTTTTATGTATTCTTTTTAAATTTGATTAAATTTCACGTATTATTTTGTTTTTTTTTTTTTTTTTTTTTTTTTTTCCCTGACGCCGTCCGGCTCTGTTATTTTCATTTATTTTGTCCATTTTGTTGGTTGTAAAATGCTCCGAACGATCTAAAATTAAACTTAATACTAGATAAAAATTATTTTATTTTTTTCATTCTGTAATTCTGAATGTGTTGAAGGAGCAGAAACTCAGTTAAAGCTAAAAAAAAATCTAAACCCAAGCCAAAACAAGCAGAATAGTAGCAAAACGTTCAAACTAGCTAAACAGTAGCTAAGAGATCAAATGTGTAAAAAGTGGGGAAACTTAGCAAAACAATAACTAAAATGAGTAAAACAGCTAGAAGCTAAAACCAGCTAAACCGGAGCTAAAACTAGCACAACAGTTGCAGAAGCCATTTTCTTTACCCTCTTTTTCTCTCTGGGTCACTGGAAGCTGGTGCTGATCTCTAGCAGTCACCGTGCAAGAGGGAGGGTACTCCCTGGACAGGGTGCAAGTCCATCACTGGCACAATACAATAGCTAAAAGCTAATGCTAGCAAAACAGTTGCTAAAAGCTAAATCCATCAAAAAGTTTCTGAAATATGAAATTATTAAAAGCATAGCTAACAAATCAAATTAGCTAAAAAAAAAGTTGCTAAAACCTAAAAAAAGTTGCTAAAACCTAAAAAGCAAGTAAAACAGTAGCTAAAAAGGAAACCATATCTAATAGCTAGAACCAGCAAAACAGTAATTGAAAGCTGAAATTGGTTCAAGTGTGGCTAAAAAATGCAATTAGCTAAACTTTAGCTAAAAGCTAAAACTAGCAGAACAATAGCTAAAAGCTAAAACAATTAGAACAGTAGCCAAAGGCTAAAACAAGAAAAAACAGTAGCTAAAAGCTAACAAGGAAACCATATATAATAGCTATAGGCTACCAGCAAAACAGTAGTTGAAAGCTGAAATAGGTAAAATTGTAGCTAAAACATACAATCAGCCAAACATTAGCTAAAACATAACAAGTAGAAAAATATCTAAAAATTGAAGCAAGCAAAACAGTAGCTAAAAGCTAAAACAAGGAAACCATATCTAATAGAACCAGCAAAACAGCAGTTGAAAGCTGAAATTGGTTAAAGTGTAGCTAAAAAATGCAATTAGCCAAACATTAGCGAATACCTAGCTAAAGCAAGAAGAACTGTAGCTAAAAGCTGAAACAAGGAAAACATACCTGATAGATGAAAAAATGCAAAACTGTAGCTAAAGGCTAAAGTTTGTGAAACAGTAGCTAAAAGCCAATTGCAGCATAAAATACAAAATATTTCGAAGTGAACAAAGTTTTTGAAAGAACTGAGGGGATCCCTTTGAGTTTTTATGGGAACATTTGTAGCTCGGTGGTCAGTGACATGGTCTTGTTGTCCTGAGGTTGCGGGTTCGAGCCCAGGTTGCGTCAGGAAGTTCATCTGTAAAAAAGTTCCAAATAACAAAAGTCATAGCACACTATTGTCAGTCAGGTAGAAGGTTTTAATGTTTAAATGGTGCAAATAACAAAGTTTGTGCAATGAATCCTGAAGCTGCTCAATAATCCAGGTAGGTAAATCTAACATGTTTGAGTCAGGTCCTCTGGACAGATTCTTTGCTGACAGATCATCAGACTATCATCAGTATCATCAGTCTATCATCAGCCTATCATCAGTCTATCATCAGTTCATCAGTCTATCATCAGCCTATCATCAGTCTATCATCAGCCTATCATCAGTTCATCAGTCTATCATCAGCCTATCATCAGCCTATCATCAGCCTATCATCAGTTCATCAGTCTATCATCAGCCTATCATCAGCCTATCATCAGCCTATCATCACTCTATCATCAGCCTATCATCAGTTCATCAGTCTATCATCAGTTTATCATCAGTTCATCAGCCTATCATCAGTCTATCATCAGTTCATCAGTCTATCATCAGTCTATCATCAGCCTATCATCAGTCTATCATCAGTCTATCATCAGCCTATCATCAGCCTATCATCAGTCTATCATCAGCCTATCATCAGTCTATCATCAGCCTATCATCTGTCTATCATCAGTTCATCAGTCTATCATCAGTTCATCAGTCTATCATCAGCCTATCATCAGTCTATCATCAGCCTATCATCAGTCTATCATCAGTCTATGATTGACTTGTTCTGCCCTTCAGGTGCCACTTTATAAATCTGTGGACCATGTTTCCTCTCTTTTCTCAGAGGAGGCATCAGAGCCGGTGACGTTATCCTGAAGTTGAACGGAACGCCGGTCCTCACCATTTCAGACGTCTACGACGCGCTGCAGAGCCAGCGGCCACTTCTCCTCGAGATCCGCCGAGGAAACGATGACTTGCTGTTTCACATCCACCCTCAGCAGCTGCCGCCCTGACGATGCGACAGAAGGCTGCTGTGGATGAACAAAATGAAAACGAACGTGGAGGTTTTCAACAACGAAAACTAAAAATACACGGCAACCTGTGCAATAATGTATATTGTGTTCGTTTTATTTGCACAAGTGTTGAGTTGAGTTATTTCATGTGCACTTTGCTGAGTGGAATCTGCTGTAGTTCATAGTGAAGGTGATTCAGACTAAAAGTTTTCAAAGAAACATCTGTTGCGTTTATTTCTGTGTCTGGTGTTCAGCAGCAGCCGTGAGCTCAGATCCTCCGTTTATGTCTTCTCCTCCTTCCTCTCTGGCTTGGAAAGATTTTCTTCTCATGTAAACAAACCAAAGCCAACAAATAATGGCTGTGGACATGAAGAGGGAAGTCCTCTTACTGCAGGAGCCACTTCTTTTAGTCTCGGAGACTGAATGGATCCTGAAACCGTTTCAGGCCCGTTTGGTTTTGTAGCTATTGTTCCTGTAGGTTAAACAAACTTTAAAAACATAAACGGTGGCTAATTTTATTTTGGTCACATCTGCTTTAAACTAACAGTTCCATTTGACTTGAACAAGGCAAAACAGAAAGAGAAAGACAAGGATCACTGAGGCAGGGAGCAGAAGCAGCTTTTCATTATTATAAAGGCAAAGCCCCACCTTCAAACAGTCTAAAAAAAACATCCAGTTTCTTGAAATTATAGGTTTGACTTGTGTTTGTGCTGTGGGTGGTTTTAGATCCTGTTCATGTGCTTCGACGATTCATAAACTCACCGCTAGATGGCGCGTGAGGAACATCACATTTGTTCCTGACGTGGCATTTTATTTTAAAATCAGTTTGAGTTGAAGGCTGGTTGAAGAAAAACAAGACAATGATTTAAAAAGTTAAGCTTCAAAACTAAAGATTTAAACTTTTTTTTTATTTAATTACTTTTCAATTCAATTCAATTATGATGTGTTCAAGTCTTATTTCTTGTCTGTTTTTCACATCTGTTTCATCTTTACTTCTTTATTGATGTCTGTAGGTCCACACTTCACATGGTCCCTCCACCTGTTACCTCTGAGTGTTCAGGAGCCACAGAGAAGAATGCACCAGAACTTTTCTAAGCTTTAGATGACATTCACGATGCTTTGTGAGAAAAAGATGAAGCCCAGCAGGTTTTTATAGTCGGCAGCAAACATAATGTCAAGCCGTGAGTCATTGTGACCTCCCAACCTGATGACATTTTGTGTGTCTTCAGTTAATGAAGTGGATCAGCATCCTCTTTCAGATGCTTCAAAACCATCACATGTTTCATGCATCACTCATGAACCGGCCATTATTCAACTAGTTCCTGCAGGATCAATAAAGTTCAATCTTATAATCTAATTTCCTTCTCCAAAACATGAATATGAAACCAGTACCATTGCTTTAAACACTCAATAGTTTAAAATAATAAACCAAATGTTTTTTTTTTAACGTAGACTATGTTTGCTCTGAGGAACTTTCGGTTCATTTCAACGACAAGTTTATTTTTTAATGGAATTAAATCGCAGAAAACAACCTCAGGGTGATCTTTCAATACATTCACATTAAGTATTTTAAACTGGAAAGTTCCTGGAGAAACTTTGACGGGGACTGCGCTGCTGCTAATTTAAACTTTTTGATTTGACGTGTCGTTATTCGTTCTCAGCTGCCACTACACCGAATTTCAGCTCAAAATGCCAAAAATTCAATAAGTCAGTCATTTTATTTTTTTTAGCTAAGACGGCCATCTTGGATTTTTCATTTGGAATGAGTATGTGATGGGGAACATTCTCAGCCATCACCACACAAAGCTCAACATCTCTAAAATTATCTGATTTAAAGTATTTTTCCATTTTAGCTCAGGCAGCCATCTTGAATTTTTGATCTATTAGGGATCGTAATACACCAAATTTCAGCTGAATAGCTCTAAAAATGGCTGAGTCATCATAGCTTTTCCCTTTTAGCTAAAGTGGCCATCTTGGATTTTTATTTGGATTCAGTAAGTGATAGCTAGGGAACGTTCTGAACTACAATCTCAAATTTCAGCTCTTTATGTGTAAAAATAGCCGAGTTAAAGCCATTTAAGTATAGCTTTGGTGGCCATCTTGAATTCAGTAATGGACATTGCTCTCAGGTACCAACACACTAAAAAAAAATTCAGCTGAATAGCTCTAAAACCCGCTGAGTCATGGTATTCTTCCCCTTTTAGCTAAGGCGGCCATCTTGGATATTTGATTTGAAATCATCGGTAAAGAAGCCGTTAGATTGTGACAAAGCTTCACTTCATTGCATTTCTCATCTTGAGCAGCCTGGAGGCAACAGTGGAAAGGAGTGACTCCCTTTTGACAGTAGGACCTCCAGCAGAACCAGAACCAGGCTCAGAATGAGAGGCCTTCAGCCTCGACAGGCTGAAGACAGAAGAGACACGTGGATGGGTTGGTCCAGGTGTGGTTTCTATAGGAAGAAAAACAAACTAACAAAACACAGGTGATAATTACAAACACAAAGAGAGAGTAGAGAAAGACAAACATCAAAATGAGGAAATGTGGTCAATTTGTCCGTCAGCAGTCTAAATCTATAGCAGCGTAACTAAGGGATAGCTCAGGAAACCCAATGCCCTAACTATAGGATTATCAAAAAGCACAATTTTTTGTCTTAAAAGTAGACAAGTGTCAGCCTCACTGACAAAAACTGTAAAGCGCACTCCTACTTTTAGGAACTCTAGGAACCACAAGTAAACCTGCAGTCTGAGAGCAAAGGGCTCTGTTGGGAAACTATGGAACAAAAATATCATTAAAGGATTTCAAGGCCCCGGCGACAGACTGGTGTCATGACTTCAGTGCTTCAAACAGTTTGAAGAAAAGAAGCAAGACGTCTGAACGAAGGAGAAACAGTAGCGTAGGTCGTAACTTCCTCCATCTGTCGGTAATTTTACTCTCACGGAGCGACTCGGTCAGAGCTGCTGTAGGTAACTTCCTGTAAGAGGAGAAGGAGCGCAAACCTGCAATGGCTTCGGACATCTGTAAACACAAAACGAATCATAGCTGCATCCACAGCTGAGCACCCCGCCTCTGTAGCTACAAATCTGATATTTGAGTTTATCTTTGATTTTAGGGCGAAGCTGAACATGCAAGAAAAAGCCTGCGTGGGCTCTTATGCCACTTCAGGGCATCTCCGAATATTCGATGAGTTCTCGAGGCGACACAGTTTCTGAACATTCAAGGAGCCTGGAATTCCTTGAATTCCTCTCCAAGTTTGATCCGTTTTTACTCTCTGGACACAGTCTCTGTCAAATGAAGCCTTTGGAAACGAAAAAAGGCTGAATGGCTCCACTCGGCACGTGTTTTAAAGTTCCTATTTGGCTTAAAGAATGTGTGTTGTCAGAGTAATGTGATTACTTTGGATCGATTCTTAATTTAATATTAGAGTTTTTTCTTCTCAGTCAAGAAGAAAAAGTTTAATAGGATTTTTTTTTGCCTCCAATTCGTACGTGTTCCAGTTTCATTACTTTTTGTCCGTCTAAACTGGTCTCGCTTGTATTGAATGAAAAAATTCAAAATGACGCAGCACTGTTTATTCCAAAACTCTTGTAGCCTGACAGCAATCTAAACTGCACAGAGCTGCAAATTATTATTTTTCTACATAATAAAGCATGTTTCCTGCTGAAATAAATTAAGACAGCTGCTTTATTCTCCAAAAAAAAAGCTTCATAAATGATTCATTCAACGAGCTGACAATCTGATGTCGGACAAAGAGACAGTTTTGTCAGGATTTGCTGAATAAACCAGTGTCCAAATGGTACAGCTAAAGTTATTAGATGTTAAAATATACAACACAAACAGATGGGTGTGTGTGCAAGAGGCATCTGTTTGCCATTATTACAAATTTATTTTTACTGACCCTTTATTGCAGCTTTTGCAAATTTAAAGAGAAAAAAGTCATCCAGGGAACATGAACTGGGTTCATTTTCCAGAGTGTTGCGCAACACTTTGCAAAAACACCAAAGTGTGACATGAAGTAACCCCAGCGCCAGTTTTATGTAAGACAATAAATGACTGTTTACTCATCACAGCCTAGCACTGTGTTTCTGAGTGCACAATGTGTTGGCTAACCAGTTAAATTTAAAAACTGAAGGAGTGGTAAGTGGGGAAAAACATGCATGTCAACTGAAGAACATGCATGTTAGACTGCCTTCAGGACAAGGACTCTCTTGCAGAAGAAACCTAAGATCTAAATGGGATTTGCCTGGTTGGATAAAGGTTGATCCATAAATCAACAAATCAATAAAAATAGGTTCATATTTAGGAGTAAACGTATTTCAGGCACAATTAAGAGAGGAAAAAAATCCAGGTATTTCAAATGAGTACTAACTACTACTTCAACATATTCTGCCACCACCCGGTGGAACCACGTTAGAACCGAAGCGGTTCCGGCACATTCAGGGTTCCACATTTTTATTTATTGTTTTTGAAACGCAGAAACCGTGACGTCTTACCGCAAACGCTTGTCAGTCCGTCAGGAGGCTGACTCATATTACAGATCGTGTTGTTCCATATTTTCTTAACGGAGCACTTCACTCTCAGACTGCAGGTTTACTTGTGGTTCCTAGAGTTTCCAAAAGCAGAATGGGAGGAAGATCGTTCAGTTCTCAGGCTCCTCTCTTGTGGAACCAACTTCCAGTTTCTGTCCGTGAGGCTGACACATTGTCCAGTTTTAGGGCTTAAGACTTTTCTTTTTGATAAATCCTATAGTTAGGGTTGGATTGGGTTTCCTTAGCTCTCCCTTAGTTAGCTATAGGCTTATACTGCTGGAGGACAAACTGACCACATGTCCTCTCTCTGATGCCGTATTTACTTGCTCCACTACATGTTTGTGTTTAATTATTTCTATCTTAAAATATGTTTTTTCTCCCTCCTATAGAAACTACACCTGGACCATAGAAAGTTCACCTGGACCTGTTGTGGAGGTTGTTTAACATCTGCAGGACCATGCTGAGGAGGTTCTA